AAAAAAAAAGGAAAAAGTAACAAAGGAAAGAGAAAGAGCTACAGTCATCTATTATAGAGGAAAACTCACATGTCTCAGGTATTTCTAGTTATTGTAAGTATTCAACAGATTCCCTGTCTTCTATGTAAGAAAATGTTACTTTAGTTAGTGATAAAGTTTTACCGAGTAGGAGACGCAAACTTTATTCATCAGTTTTTAGGTATCAGGCATGCAACATATCTGTGATAATAGATAAATTATGAAAGCTATTGGAAAAGGCTGTATTTATGACATCTTAAAACCATCTTCTATAAAGAAACTTACAGTAAGAACTGAATGATTTAAATGGAATACAAGAACTTCCCCATTTATGTTAAGAATAATTTAGAAGAAAATGGTATGTTTTATGTCTGAATGAAAAGCTCTTCCAAAAGCAACTAGTTTTTAAAGTAAAAATATGCTACTATAGAAAATAAGCTTTTTACCAGAAATTGTAGATACCCAAGTTCTAGTTTGATTGTTTTTCTATATAGGAAATTGCAGCAGAAAACAATTTAGAATTAACTAAATGAAATAAACATCTAGCAGACAGTTTACATTATAATAAACTGATTAACAAAAAAAATCATTTTTTCCATAGCAGAAGTATATTTATTGTGCTGAAATCAGGTAGCAGGGAATGAATAGTTCTTGGGAACCAGCACAGAATGTTCACAAAGATTTACAAATCTCTAGTCATTACACACTGAGCAACAAAACAAAGGTGTTGAATCCTCTTAGATCAAACTACTTTATATGTTGCAAATTTTCTGTAATTCTCATGACTGCATGCCTTTGGGGAAAAAGTGTTTAATTTTAATGCACAATAAATATGTTATAGCTTACAAAATATTCGGAAATAATTTGTACAAACAGCATACATCCTTCACATGCAGCTTTGACATGTTGTTGATACTCAGAGATATTCATGCTTTTTTTGGTCACATTTTGTCTTTCTCTAGTAATCCCTTTGCAACATCCCTTAAAAAATTAACCTATGTAGTAAGACATGGTACAAATTCTTTCCTATTTTATTTCCAGTTGTTCACTTATATTACATGAAATACTTCATCTGTAAATAGCAAATTGAATGTCATAGTTCTGACTACTCTCACTTTTATTCATTTTGTGTTTTAACAACACCTTGTAATATTAAGCATTGAATTTAACAATCTTTAGCACCAAGGAGTCAAGAATATTGCACCAAAATGGGTTTATACTTCATACCTAGTTAATAAATAAGATCTTGCAACTTAGTCACAAGGAAAACGTTACTCCAAAATTAAACACATTGAAAGAGAAGAATAGTTTCACAGAAATGTTTGGTGTATGCTATTTGTCATAAAAGCAAAAAACAACACTAGTGGATTTGAAAGTTAATATTAAAATTTACATTAGAAGACTCCTTGATTTTTTAATTAAAATTTATTTAATTTTAAATGTTCTTTCCAACAGAAGAGGTAGGTATATTTCCACATATGAAAAATCAGTAACAGCCATAAATCAAAACAAGGAAAGCCTGATAAAAATCAACATATTCTAACAGCACATAAATGTAACTATCTTATGATGTTACTAATAAACACATGAGTTGTTTCATGTTTCAAACAGACAATAATTTGAATTTTTATATATTTCAGCTAGTAACAGGAGTATTCAAATGCTGCCTTTTCATCACAAAAAATCATTTCCCCACAGTGATTTGTGCGAGTCATGGTGATCTCTGAGTCACCAGACAAGACTTTACTGCAATTCTTTCTTATTTTCACCAACACCATCATCATCAAGCCTCTAAGATTCTACAGAGATCAGATTTTAAAAATTTAATTACAACCAAAAGTACAGTCTGACTAGAGGTGGAGAGATTTGACCATTCTGGTCAGCAAATGAATTCAAATGTGCAAGTTAAATGTATACACATTTCCAGCTTTGGACAAGAAAATGTAACACCACTGATTTCAGTCAGTAGATAAGATAATTAGTAATTTGTCAAAATAATTCATAAAGACTGTTTCTGTGATCGTCTAAAATTCAGACCGAAGAATGAATGACTGTAAGATACACATGAAAAATCTCATCCTGTAGACAACTGGATGATGTGAACAGGGGGAGAATCTCCAAAGTCACATAATGATTGCTTTGGTCTGCAGAATATCAAGGCTAATTTTTAAAAAAATGTTTAAAATAAAAACTTCATAAATAAAACATCTGGGTATGGTATTAACACTTTACTCGGTCTAAGAGTTACTAGGACATAGAGCACATTTGTCTTTTCTCCCCACCCCCAAGCTCTCCTTTGCTTCTGTTTTCCCTGAAATTTTATATGACATGGGAGTTTTTCCTCACTGTCAACAACAGTTAAGGCCCAGTTCAATTTAATCTCCTTTTGCTTTTCCATTTTTCTGCTTTTTTCCATTTTCTATCACGAGTTGTTTTTCTGATTTGCTCACACCATTTGCTGAAATACCATTCATGGCTGTTTTTCCAGTTTTTGGTTTCTTAGGCTCTTTGTATGTCCGAATGTAGAAGTTAAGAAAGAGAAATATGAAGCTGATTGCGTAGGCAATTAGAGCCCAGTGCATCCATTTGGGGAAGGGGCAGTCAGTGTAAAGAGACAGTGCTGTGTGCCCAATGGTCACATGGAATTGAACCTGAAAAACAGAAATGACAGCACAAAACATTTAATCTGAATTGTAAACAACTTTTAACAATATCAGCATCTTCTACATAGCTATCACAGGCCCAGATTTTGCCACACTGTGCAAAATTTATTGTTTTCTGGCTCCCATGGCTAGCTCTTTCTCATTCACACCTCAAATGCCATCTCCTCAGTAAGGGCTTTCTGACAAGACTTCAATTTCAATTGGCCCTCCCAATCCCATTAACCAAAGAGCTTTTTGCATTTTTTTTAAGGAGAATTATAACTATTTGAAATTGTCTTTTGTATTTGTTATTTCTTTATTGCCTATCTTTCCACCAGAATATGACTCCAGAAGGCAGGGCTTTGTCTTGCCCATCAGTGATTCTTGAGTCCTCAGCACAGCATCAGGATCAAGGAACATGTGTTGAATAATGTTATCTGATGAAAGGGAATCAATGGCCTAGGAGAGTAAAATAATAGTATTGTAGGCTCTTCAATTTTGTTTTCCTCCCACATTTTAGATTGGTTTCCATCAAATATCAAAATAGCTCATTTATTTCTTACAGAGAGTAGGCAGGTAAATTTTTATTTGAATGAACACTATCCTTCAAAAACTAGTATTTTGATGGCCAGGTGTGATGACTTATGCCTATAATCCTGGCACTTTGGGAGGCCGAGGCAGGTGGATCAACTAAGGTCAGGAGTTCAAGACCAGCCTGGCCAACATGGTAAAACCCTGTTTCTACTAAAATATAAAAAATTAGCCGGGCGTGGTGGTCTATGCCTGTAATCCCAGTTACTCGGGAGGCTGAAGCAGGAGAATTGCTTGAACCCGGGAGGTGGAAGCTGCAGTGAGCCCAGATTGCACCATTGTACTCCAGCTTGGGCAATAAGAGCAAAACTCTGTCCCCATACCCCCACCAAAAAAAAAAAAAAAAAAAGATAAAAGCAATATTTGGATAAAAAGTAGTAGATATTTCAGAATAAATACAAAAAGAATCACTTTCAACTTTAAAGATTTTTTAAAGGAAAAAAGCCAAAAGTGAGATGATTAAAATGAAATATTCTGATGTATCAATAAATGAATGGGTCAAGACACAATGTTAACAAGTGTTAATTTTTTATACAATTAACTTATATGACTGACTGTTGTGAGAACTTCTGGCTTGGAAATACAAATTCAACATCCTGTTTGAAACGGACAATTGTGGTTTCTCTTTTCAGGACAGCATTGTCCTTAAAATATTAATTGTTGATTAAAACAATCAGTATTACTTATTTTAAATATTACTAAAATAATGTATGCCATGTAAGCTAAAAATTTATACCATATTAAACAACTTTTATAATTTTCCTTGGCAAATATTTAAATTTGAAGAACTTTTGGTTTCACAATGGTTTTTAGAAGCTGCATCACCCAAAAGGGTGTGTATAAGGGTGTGATTGGGTATGGCGTCACTCAAGGAGAGGCAGGTGTAGGCTCCAACAAAACAGATAGGACTAATTCACACGATTTTGATCACCTCTTCATTTTCTTGGGTCCATTTACTACTTACTGAGAGAAATGAATTACACAAACTGTGTTAACAGCTTTTACACAAAAACTGGAGGAAGCTTCCTGTACCACTTTGGTTACAAATGAATCCTTCACACCCAGCATTTCCCAAAAGTTGTGCTTCCTGTTTGGTTAGCCAGCTGTTTAGCAACTTAAAGCAGAGATGAATAATATTTCCAAATGTGATTCCACTGATAAAATTGTGCACATGCTATGATTAAAGCAAATTATAATAAATTCTAAAGCTTGAAAAATAGTTACCAGGTTGGCTTTGAATTTCCAGTTTGATTACAGGCCAATGCCTAGCATCTGAAAGATACACTAATGCACACACTCAGATTGCCACAAGCAGTCTTACTAGGGGGATGTGCTGAAAACTGTCTGGACTAAAGACTACCATTTGAAAATATCTGTCTCTGCTCTCTTAAGGACAGTGTTTTAGAGAACTACAAGGAGTTCACTTGTCCCTATTCCCTTCCTTTGCCCCACCCCTTCCTTGGCTATGTGCTTTCTTTTCAGCTGTATAGTCTAAATATATGAGCTATGTTAAAGACTGAAAAATGAAATAAAAAACAAAATTTTTAAGCAAGGACAAGAAGAAGAGAGATAATAAAATTTTAAGTTAAGAAAATCACCTGAGGGGAAAACTACATATTATTTTTCTATTCAGACATAAATCTACGTACTTTGTAGCATGCTTAGATCTTTAATCATCCTTTCCACAAATATGTTTAGACAATGTTTTCCTTAGAGAAGTGCTATGTCTAGTCTTTTAAGGATATTAGAAAAACAAAGACTTGCTGGGACCAACAAGTCTATAAATAAGTCGGCTGGAGTCAAGTGGGCCTAATTGCAATATAACTAGAGGATAAAGTTAATTTCACAATAGAAAATTGTTTAAAATGACTTTGCACTTTAAAATTAATCAAATCTAAACAATTTCAGTATTTTCCCAGAAGAAACTTTGGAAGCATTTAACTCACCAGTTGCAACATAGTCAGGTATCGTTTCCACCAAAGATATTTCTGAATCCATGGGCCAAATGCAGCTAACCCATAGTATGAGTACATAATCACATGGATAAAGGAATTCATCTGGGCTCCAAAAAATGCTTTAGAAAAACAACAGGTAATTACCAGATACAGAAAATTTTATTAAGCAGTAAGCCACTGAGATATACAATAAATGAATACACAGTATTTTTTAATATTTAATATTGAGTACAGATTAGGAATGAAAAATATAAAGTAGTACTAATAAAAAAGTTTTCCCTTCAGATTAAGCTAGATATTTTTAAAGTTTAGATTTGAGGTTTTACCATATAAATAAAAATGTATGTTCAAATGCAAAGGACTTTCAAAGTGGTAGGTTTTCAAATGGGGTACTCCAGTAAGCTTAAATAGGCCCAAATGCAGAACTGTTGCCTATGTTACTTTTAATTCTACTATTCTTGCCTTTAGATGTGCCAATATACATATCTATAACAAAACAGCACTTATTTCTTAGGTTTCCAAATAGTTTAAAATATAACAGCACTACACATATTGAATAATTCATTTAATATAGATAAATCTACAGAGATATTCCAGTCAGTCTAAGTCAATGACATTCTTTCTCTTCAGAATATTAATTAAATCAAGGTATAGATGTAATAATAAATTAATTTTGTCATAAAGTGATCTAAGTGTTCAGTTCAGATTTACTAATTTTCTTTTAAAATTACAGAGGTTGCCTTTAACTGTATTGTTTTAAGGTTGGCCCCAATAATATATGTATTAATTTCTAAGCTGCCAATTATCATAATATGACAATGAAAGCAGGAAGGTGAACTATACTATAATGACTTGTATCCTGGATCCTCCTCAGAGGAATCATCTGCATCAATCTCAACATAGTGAATCATCCTTAATCTACAGGCACATGAAAAGATAGGAGGCAGATCTTGGCCAAACTATGAATTTAGATCCTCTTTAACATTAACAAGGATATATAAAATTTCCTTTGAATAAGAACCAACAAGACCTATACAGGCTGAGTATCCCATATCCAAAATGCTCAGGACCAGATGTGTTTCTGATTTCAGATTTTTTTAAACTTTGGAATATCTGCATAGACATAATGAGATGTCCTGGGGATAGGACTCAGGTCTAAATCCAAAACTTCACATACACCTTATACATGTATCCTGAAGGTAATTTTATAAAATTTTAAAGCAATTTTATGGGTGAAACAAAGTTTGTGTACTCTGAACATCAGCAAGCAAAGATGTCACTACCTTAGCCACCCATGTGGACATTGTCTGCGGTTGTTTGGCATCAATATTATGCTGTACACAGAAAAAGGCTAAGAGGGTCTTTTTTTCCCCTCAGGTATACTGAATAAAGTGTGTTGTGCACTTGTGTTTTGACTGTGACCCATCACATGAGGCCAGGTGTGTAATTTTCCACTTGTAGTATCATGCTGGTGCTCAAAAAGTTTTGAATTTTGGAGCATTTGGACTTCAGATGTTTGGATTAGGGATGTTCAATCTGCATTAGAGCAGGAGTGAGCTATGGGCCAAGATGGAAATCTTCAGATTTGAGGGGTTGTGTCTTGGTATTCTTTGGATCAGAACTACTAGTCCCGTTCCCCGTCAAAATATTGTTTTCTACCTTTAGTCTTGGTTTATGCTTATCTCTGGGGCAAATCTTTAGGTATTAAAGTAGTCACAGATAAAAAGCTAAAGTTACACTTGCCTCAAATTTTTTAAAAATGAAATGATGGCTGGGTGCGGTGGCTCATGCCTGTAATCCCAGCACTATGGGAGGCCGAGGCAGGCAGATCACAAGGTCAAGAGATCGAGACCATCCTGACCAACATGGTGAAACTCCGTCTCTACTAAAAATACAAAAAATCAGCTAGGCGTGGTGGTGTGTGCCTGTAGCCCCAGTTACTCAGGAGGCTGAGGCAGGAGAATCGCTGGAACCCAGGAGGCGGAGGCTGCAGTGAGCTGAGATCACGCCACTGCACTCCAGCCTGGAGACAGAGCGAGACTCCATCTCAAAAAAAAAAGAAAAGAAAAAACAAAAAGAAATAAACATGGAAATGATTAACCACGAAAGCAAGTTAAATGGTAGATCAAGTCAAAGTCCTAGGTTCTCATTGCTTTCCACTGAACACATAGATGCAATTAAATGCAAGCAGTATATTCCTGAAAATGCTCACCTTGTCCTCCTGCAACCCACTTAATTCCAATCCACCACAAGGTAAACATCGTACAGTGATGATACACATGAAGGAAAGAAACCTGGTTGTTTTTCTTTCTCAGAATAAAAAACACTGTGTCCAAATACTCAACTCCTTTAGAAACAAAGTACCACCACAGAGCAGCAGCTATCTGTAAAAAGGGAAAGCGTGTTATAAACACCAAAATGACACTATTGTATGGATTTATACTCATTGTAAGTTCAAAATAAATATTTGTATGTTGCACAAAATGTACAAGGCATGGAATCATTTATGCCTAAGTAGTTTTGAAAAACCTAAGCATCTCTCCATGGGGACAAAATAGAAAATAAAGAGTCCAAAGCTCTGTCTATACAGTGCTAATAAGTTAGAGAACATTTTCTGTCTGTTCCAGAGGTAGATGTCACATAGTGTCAAACTGCTGAATACAGAGCTGGAAGTACATTCAGACTGCTATGCTTTTCAACTTGGTAGAGGAACTGAGATGTTGACTTTGTAAAATTAGTTTAGTTGTTCATGCTCAGCCTACATTATACCTCAGAAAAACGTGCAAGTAAGTTCATGTAGCAATTGGTCTCTGCAAGTGTCTGCCTGTCTGCCCACCCTCTCCCCTCACCTCCTCCTGCCTGCGCGCCCCACCCCCTCACCGCACCAACATGTGCAACAACATAAATATCCAATCACAGCAGTTTGTATTAGGTATTAAAATATTTAAAATAATAAATGGGAATGAACAAACAAATATTTCCCAGGTCATAAATATAATCCTGCTTACATGAATAAGTCTTTTCTTTTCCTGGGCTCTAATTAAGTCACCAGATGGTGCAGAAAGATTACATTACATGCTGAGATTAAGGATCCAGTGAGAGGTGACCTCTGTATGTTTTAAAATGTTTTACAAGAATCCTACTACAACAAAAACCAAAACTTAATTTTTTATGTCAAGTATTTTCTATGATAAGCATCCTATGTATAAATAACAAATAAGGCAGTACATAACTAAAATCTATTTATAAGCTTTTGTGTGTTAGGGCCCTGTCAGATTCATTCACAGACGGGCTTAGGTGTTTTAGAATTGAAGGATCCCTTTGTATTTTATACCTGCACCCGGTATACGTCATGAGATTTTTGTTTGTTCTGGCTTTTGCATTTGAAAAACAAAATTATAATTTTGAAGTATGGGGAAAGAAGAAACAGAAAGCATATAAGAAACGAAGTATTTACAAAGTGAGAATTATTTACTGGATTTACTTGAAAAATATCGTTAAAAATGATATGAATTGGTGGAAAATAAGCTTGAAATAGCTAACTACTCCCAGCAACACTACCGTTAATATTCACTATTATATTAGTTCTTTAAAATAAAGTAACTATCACCATTTTGGCATAGTAACCTGTAACTAAAAGGAAAGATATAATCACTTATTTTTCCTCCATCTAGACCTCCACATTTGCCATAATTTACATAAAATAACAACAAATAAGTCTCCTTAGTTTGCAAACTGCACTAGGTATCTTTAAATAAGCTACACCAAAAGTGATACTTCTTGGCTACATAACAATGATTACAAAAATGAGTCTCTCCATAAAATATTCACTCTATTGCATCCCATATTAGAGAGGAGAAGAGAGCACGAGCAAGATTCCAAATGAAATCTGTTGCAAATCTCAGGTTCTTTATCCTCCTAGATTACAGTTCTCATAATAGCTCATTTTTTAAAGACTTGAAAGTTTACCTCTGTAAGCGAGAGTGGTATTTTTAACCTTTATCCTAAAAATAGTAATATGTTGCCCCATCTAAGGGTTTTTCTATGCCTACTCCCAGAAGTCAGTCAGTCAAACACTTCTCCCTGTTCCCTTCCCTACAGCAAGCAAGAAGTCAGCTCTCCAACTGAAGAGATTCTTTGGCAACAGTTATCAGAAGAAAATTTTTCATAGCCAATACATCTAGAGAGGAGCCTCTCTCATTTTCTCTCAGTCACATCCAGGTTTTATTTCCTCCTTAGTCATTTGTTTACATGGCTGCTGTCTGCCTCATCACCCTCACTAGAATGCCAGCCCCACAAAGGCAGGGCTTTTCAGCTCGTCCCCAGTGCCCCTCACAATACTAACAAATAGTAGATGCTCAATCCATTATTTAATGAATAAATAAAAACAACATGACAACCAAACCGGTGACTTTTCATCAGTCCATAAGTCTTCTAATAGGGAAATGAAGATATGTACATAACATGGTTAAGTACATTAAAGCAATTTGGTCTCCAGTCTTGATGAATACTGATATTTATATAGTGTCCACTCCCCATGGCAGGAAACTGTTTTTCTCAAGGGAAGTCACTGGATATTATTACTACATATACTATAGGTAACATAAAACATGTTATGTTTTATATGTAATTTCTAGTATGAACCACAGTATATAAGAAGAGCTCAATAAATACTTAATAGAATAAGGTAATCTGTTGTTTCTTTCGCTTAAATTAATGTTAATTTTACTCATGTAAGTGAATGGAAAACAAAATATAACATCTTGTTACTAGCAGTTTATTTCTCTGCAAATATAATAATAAACTGAGTTTATGCCTATACAAATTGTTCTATGCTTAATTTCCTAAACATTCCACACTTCACAAAACATTTACTTTTCCTCCTTTCCTTTTTTTTTTTTTTTTTTGAGATGGAGTCTCGCTCTGTTGCCCAGGCTGGAGTGCAGTGGCCAGATCTCAGCTCACTGAAAGCTCCGCCTCCCAGGTTCACGCCATTCTCCTGCCTCAGCCTCCTGAGTAGCTGGGACTACAGGTGCCTGCCACCTCGCCCGGCTAGTTTTTTGTATTTTTTAGTAGAGACGGGGTTTCACCGTGCTAGCCAGGATGGTCTCGATCTCCTGACCTCGCGATCCACCCGTCTCAGCCTCCTAAAGTGCTGGGATTACAGGCTTGAGCCACCGCGCCCGGCCTTTCCTCACTTTCTTAATACATAACTAGGACTCTAAGAGTTTCTATTCCTGCCCAAAAACAAACAAACAAAAATCTAATATAATATCTTTAAAAGAAACATGAGACTTCTTTGCTTTAACAAATACTGCATTCTAGTAATCCAATGCATATTTGCTCATGCTGCAAAATAAAAAACATTCTTGAGATACAAAAACAAATTTTAAATTAAGTACTTTTAAAAAAAGCGTAGTTTTATTGACTCATAACAATCTAGTATAATTTCACTATCATATTAAAGTACTTTTTGCCAGGTGTGGTGGCTCACACCTGTAATCTCAGCACTTTGGGAGGCTGAGGCAAGAGGATCCCTTGTGGCTAGGAGTTCAAGACCAGCCTGGGCAACACAGCAAGACACTGTCTCTACAAAAAGTAAAAAAAATAGCGAGGCATGGTGGTGCATGCCCATAGCCCCAGCTACTTGGGAGGCTGAGGCAGAAGGATCAATTGAGCCCAGGAGTTTGAGACTGCAGAGAGCTATGATCATACCACTGCACTTCAGTCTAGGGGACAGAGCAAGAACCTGTCTCTAAATGAATGTTAAAGAACCTATCTTTAAAAAAACTACATTCTACATTTTCACAGATTGGGGCCTATAAAAATCAAACCACTTTTACTGATTAAGAGTATTTTTAATGTACTTACCCTGACTTCATTAACATTATTAGAATAATCCACACTCTGGCAAATATAGCTATATCCCGCATTATATGATCCCATGAATAACTGGAAAAAGAGTAGTAATATTTGTAGTAAAGTTTTAGTAAATACAGCGTTAAAAATACAATTATATACAAAATGTAGCCTTTCAAATTAATTTAAAAGCAATATTTTCTTTAAAAATTTCAAATGCATTAAAAAATGTCATGCATTCCAATTGCTAGAGGTTACTGTGCATTAATTTGTTCTATAATTAAAATATAAATTAAAAATCGCATGTAACTTTTATACTGAATATTGACTCTATCTATTAAATACTTCACAGCATTAAGAGAAATTTTTACTGCTAGGACTCAGATTTTAAAGTTGTCCTACCTTAATTGGTTTCTATGTTTGATGCAGAGTGGTTTGCGTATAACAAATTAGGTACACATATTCAAATAAATTAAAGTGTTTATGAAGTTGAGACTTGAGGCTAAGTTTTCAATTAAAGAAATATTTCTTTTTCGAAGAAGAGTTATTGTTTATTTTCCAGCATTACTAGCCAGTTCTCTGGGATCACATAGAATTTTAATGAGTCTCTTAGGGAACAAATTCTTTACACTTATGCAATTTAAAAAATAGCTGTGTCAATCTAGCCTTTAGAATTTCCTTTGAAAATGTCACGGAGAATTTGCTCTTGCCCAGAAAACTATATAATGCTTAGTAACAACAGCTATATGGTAGTTAATTCATTTTAATTCCAGCCCCAAATACAACATTACATAAGAGGATTTACTTGAAATTGGCATATTCTGATCAGTTACCAAACCGGAAACTACTGAATAAGAATTATAAATAAATAGCTGCTACTGTTTACTGAGTGCATAATACATGCCAAACATTATGCAAAAATTATCTTACTTAAATCTGATAATAACCCGAGATGGCAGGTATTTAAGTGGGGAAAACGAGGCTAAGAAAAGTTAAATAACTTTCAATGCCACAACCACTAATGAGGGTTCTTTTAGAATCCAGTTGGTCTTATTCAGACTTCCATTTTAAATAACTGCCCTATACTTCACGTTTAATTTTTTTGTTATTCAAAAGTGAAAAATGTCAAAAACGTACTTTTAGAGTAGCTAACAGTTATGTCTGGGTACAATATTACAATGATGGTTTTATACACTCTCATTTTTAAATATCCAATAACCTTGGAAAATTATTAAAGTGATCTTAAAAACATACCTCTCTGAAGATAAAAAAGTTAAGCAAAACCATCCCAAAATTATAGATAATGAGCACTAGACGCATCTGAAAAGGTTCTCGGTCCTTCATCCACTTTGGACCCAGCCACACAAACAGGAGATAAAGAGTGCTTATACTTAGTGTAGGCCAAGGAGACTGCATCAGAGGCCAATTTTCCACACGCTTATCTATAGAGAAAACAAAATACCACAAAATTAATCAATAAATGTTTTATAAAACACACTTTCTAGGAATCAAGATGTTTCAACTTAATTTCCGAATTTGACCAAATATGGATCACTGTCCTTTGAGTCCCAATAAAAAAAAATACATGGTATAAAAACCAAAGAAACAATATGGAATCCTGCAAGTGGCTTTTGAAAATTATGCTTCATTACTTATGTTGTCACACATTATGTTTTACAGAGACCCTGGAGAACAAAAACAAGAAATAAAGCTCACTAAAAACAGAGGTGATTATCTTGGGATGAAAAGTTAATGAAAAACTTCATACACAGAAAAAAAGTATCTTAAGGAAACATTTGTCTTCCATATTATACATGTGAAATTTCTCAGGGCAGCCTGGAGGCTGCTCTGTGTGTCCACTCCTAAAGCAGGCAAGAATTTAACTGGAGAGGTACAGGGTGATGGTAGCCATTTGCTGATATCTAGAGACACTGAAGACAAGAGTACAGGGCACTGAGAGATTAAGTTAGAGTTCACTACAATTCTATAATGTATTTAAATAGTCACCATGTTCAGAAACATTTTTCTAACTTTTTCATTGAGAGCATGCACTTATTTTATTCCCACGAATAACTAACTTGAATGTTTTTCTCTAGAGCTGTAAGTCACATAACTTACATATGTGGAACTATATATAATGCAACACATTATTTTACTTAAAATGAATTGATTGTCCAGCATATTCAAATACGCAACCATAAATCAATTTTACAATG